ATATATAAATATAAACCCCCCCTAATGTGTAGAGGATCGATTTGTGAGATTATGAGATTATTGCAGAAATACAGTCCACTTATCATTATACAAATTGCTATCGAAGTATATAAATTAACGTAAATATAAATTCATATAAATTAAATAAATATAAATCTCACAGGTCGGTTCCCACACCTGCCTTCCTCAACACCACCACTCTCCCTGCCTTCCTCAACACCACCACTCTCCCTGCCTTCCTCAACACCACCACTCTCCCTGCCTTCCTCAACACCACCACTCACCCTGCCTTCCTCAACACCACCACTCTCCCTGCCTTCCTCAACACCACCACTCTCCCTGCCTCCCTCAACACCACCACTTTCCCTGCCTCCCTCAACACCACCCCTCTCCCTGCCTCCCTCACCACCACCCCTTCCCCTGCCTCCCTCACCACCACCCCTTCCCCTGCCTCCCTCACCACCGCCCCTTCCCCTGCCTCCCTCACCACCGCCCCTTCCCCTGCCTCCCTCACCACCACCCCTTCCCCTGCCTCCCTCACCACCACCCCTCTCCCTGCCTCCCTCAACACCACCCCTCTCCCTGCCTCCCTCAACACCACTCCTCTCCCTGCCTCCCTCAACATCCACCCCTCTCCCTGCCTCCCTCAACACCACCCCTCTCCCTGCCTCCCTCAACACCACCCCTCTCCCTGCCTCCCTCAACACCACCCCTCTCCCTGCCTCCCTCAACACCACTCCTCTCCCTGCCTCCCTCAACACCACTCCTCTCCCTGTCTCCCTCAACACCACTCCTCTCCCTGCCTCCCTCAACACCACCCCTCTCCCTGCCTCCCTCAACACCACCCCTCTCCCTGCCTCCCTCAACACCACCCCTCTCCCTGCCTCCCTCAACACCACTCCTCTCCCTGCCTCCCTCAACACCACTCCTCTCCCTGTCTCCCTCAACACCACTCCTCTCCCTGCCTCCCTCAACACCACCCCTCTCCCTGCCTCCCTCAACACCACTCCTCTCCCTGTCTCCCTCAACACCACTCCTCTCCCTGCCTCCCTCAACACCACTCCTCCCTGCCTCCCTCAACACCACCCCTCTCCCTGTCTCCCTCAACACCACTCCTCTCCCTGCCTCCCTCAACACCACCCCTCTCCCTGCCTCCCTCAACACCACCCCTCTCTGCCTCTCCACCTCAATGCCTCCCTCCATCAATCACTGCCTCCCATCCCTCCTCAATGCCTTGGAGGTGGGTGGCCTGTTGCCATGTGAGGGCCCGCCGATGCCAAAACAAACTCAATACCGACCTTCAGTAATATCGACTGCCAGACCGATATATGAGGCTCCAGATACCAGTCTCTCAAACCGGTCGTTATTACTGGCAGATCGGTATAAAAAAGGCCGTTAAATTGAGTGGATACTGTATGTCCTGGGCTGACATTTGGGCACAGGGATTTTGGTGGTTGAACAGGGTCCTGGCTGCTCGTTACTTTGTTAATGTTCCTGGGCTCAGTCGGGCCTGTGTCGCTTTGGGTCGGTGGATGCAGCCAGTTGTCTCGACTTTAGGTTGAGTGAGCAGCAACCGCCTCCCGGGTAAGTCCCTATTCTTTCCTCTATGGGTCGTTAGCTCCGGACAGCCGTAGGGGCTCCCACCAGAAAACCAGCATTGAATGTAATGAAACGCCATTTTCTGGGTGAGTCCCGGAGGCTCCCCGGCATCCCTCCCTCCCTGCGGTCAGCGGTTTTTCGCGTGTTTTGACATCCAGCCTCAGAACTGGGGTGTGGATCGCTGGCGCGGTGGGTCTGGGGTCTTCCCCTTCCCCCTCCCAGAGAGAAGGGAGCTACGCAGACAACGGTGCAATGACGGGTAACGTCATACTAGTTTGCTCGTTTTTGTTTGAAGAGTTCTATCCACTAGTTCGGCTTTTGGTTGTAATTTTCACCAGAATAGGGGTTTGTTTTGGGAAGCTTACTTTTCTGGGTGCCTAACCCGGTCGATGGCAGATATAGAATGCTTCCAGTTACACAGGGGTTTCTATATGGCATTGTTCCCCTTGCCTCTCGAGAGGGGGCCAGGTTCTGGCTTGTGGTCCCCAGTAGAAAAAACGTTCATCTCTCTTTCACATTTCTTTGTGGTTTTTCCGCATGGACCTGATATTTAAAAACCAAAGCAGATTGAGCTCTAATATTTTGCAAAGTGTCATTTGGGGTCTAGGGCTATCTTACTACAAAATTTCATGGCATTTGGAGAAGGTCGAGTGAGAGCCATAGGTGACTTTTTGGTGATTTGAGATGGAATGACCCAATAACATGTTGCCACACACCAGCCAGTAGCCGACACCACCTCTCCCTCCCTCCCTTACCAGCAGTACTCCTCCCACTACTAATTCACATCGCTAATTCTCACCACAATCCTGCTATTATCGGAATCCTGGTCACTAAATCATGTAAGTGAATAATTCCCACCTGTTTATTTTGTCAAGGAACATGAGAAATCGTTTGAAGAATTTTAGATGGAAGAAATAATGGCAGTGTGCTGTGGCTAGTGCTATGAACACCTTGAACAGCATTTATTCACTGATATCTGAACATTGTACACAGTCTTTATCACAATCAGGCTCTTCTGTAATACTATCATGGCTAAATAATACCAGATACATATATATTTGGAAAATTTTAGGCGATGCTGTGGTCAAAAGCTGAACAGCAATGCTGTTTGCTCATGCTGCATGCACCAGCCTTGGTTGCTCACTCAGTACTGAGGCCTTTACACCCGGGAATGTTGCCCATGATTTTTTTTCAAAATGTAGTCTGTTTAAGAGAGCCCTAAGGAAGCTGATTTGAACCCCGTGTAACCGCGAGAGTTTTGAATGATACGCTATACCTATAAGATCCCAAAAGTGCATTGCGCACCACCCGTTGAGAGCCTCAAGGCGCGTTGCACAATGCAGTGGTTAAAGGAGTAGGAGGCATGGTCAAATGTATAAAGTATCCTCATTGAAAAGTAGTGGTGCAATAGGTACTTCTTATGAGACAATTCTATAAACATTAGGGTGTAAGACTATTTTAATATCCTCTAAATATGATTGGATTTATCTACAAACCTCTTGTGTTCAAGATGGAATATGATAAAAGTCCCCAAAGGCTACCTAATCAATAGGACTGTGATTCCTGTGTCATCCAACAATGGTTGACACGACTATGAACCAGGAGGCCTGGCAGAGACTGGTCTGCAGGGACATTGGTCCTTGTAACCCCTCCAAAATAATGTAAGATAGTTCTGGCAGAGATCGTCAGCCCCTTTTCACCCCAAACTAGCTTCCTTCATGACCCAGCAGAAAGAGGAGTAATAATTATTTATATTATTATAATAATTGTTGTAATTAATAATTATTACTCTTCCTCCTACACGCAAGATGGTCATGAAGGAAGTCTGCTTCTGGTGAAAGATGGCTGTGATGATCTGTGTCTAGAACCTGTAGATGCGGGACTCTGACGTCCACTTCCTAGGGCTCGTGCAGCCCAAACTCTGCTTCAGGAGGCTGGGGTCGTTCTTGCCCTTGCTGGGGCGGTTCTTCTCTGGCCCCGACCACAGCTGTCTCTGGGTTTGGAGTCCCTGCACCTTCTTTTACTAACTTTGAGTTAAACTCTGGAGCTGGAGCCCCTAGGGCAGTTCGTTGTTGCCTTCAACCTCGTTCTTATAGTTCCTGCAACAGTACTGGAACCAATCGTATTGGCATTTGCCTTTCCATTGGAAACTTTCGGCACTGTTGAGAGGGGGGCACCTGCTGCATGGGTGATAGCTTCTCCCCCATGTCAACCTACCCTGGCTTTCCGTCCTGGAGAGGCCACGATATGGTCTCCTAAGACTAATGGATGCCTACTACTACACGTCCTTTTGTCACTGAAAGGGCATCATCTTTCCCACAAGGATCTCGAGCATTTGCTGGGCTACTTTCATTTTGTTGCATTGGCCTTGCATTGGTCTTTCCATTGGGCCCTTGTATAGTTGTCTTTCCTTTGGGCCTTGTTTGGTTGAAAGCACTTTGTGGCCCACTTTTGGTGGGCCACAAAAATTGAATGGTGCCATTCAATTTAACACCTTGACGCGCACGGCGATATGGACTTTTCGGACCCCCTCATGCGCCCGGCGTTTTCGGGTGACCGAGTGGCAACACTGAAAAGTGTATTCTCTTTTCACTGTCCTGACCTTAATTTTCGATGTACTGATTTCATTTTTGTACCAAAGTGTTCGCAATAGAATGATCTATAAGAACATATGTATATGTCACCAAAGCATGAGTTAAATCACACAAAAAGCTGAAGAACTACATCGATCACTAGCTGTGAGCTCCAAACAGCGACGAAATGTTTCCATTCTTTTCAAGGTTGTCAACTCCACACTTGTCCTACAGCGTTAAATTTGGTATCACTGTGATCGCAATTAAATTCCCTACAAGGACATATGCATATAAATGTAGAATCATGATCGCGGCCCACACCAAGAGTGTGTGAAGTGGGCGATTACCCTCGCTGAGTCAACAATACAATAGTCTTTCCACGAAGTTAACAATGCAATGAGGTTCTCCCAAATAGGCCATGTGCCTATTAGAGAAAACGGAAATTTAATGGCAAACATTTTCATACTAACCCCAAGTCGATCGAATAAGAATTGGATTTTATACAAATATTTTGTAATCGCGCGTAAATTTACGACGCGATTGCAGCAACTGGACAAAATACCCCTATTTATGCATCGTTTATTTACGACCCGGCTGTGGGAAAGTGATTTATTAAGCTGGGACCACTGGGGTCTGGGAGCCTGGATGTGACCTGGAAATACAGGCCAATTTCTTCCCCTACAGCTTCATCTCTCACAACTGTACAGCACATGCAAGTTAGATTGTTTCTATGTTTTTGTAATTTTAGCCTTCTCATTCAGTTTGTGCCTAAGGAAGTAACCATATTTTGTAAAGAATAATAATAATTTTTTTTTTGTCCGTTGGCAGAATCTGACGAGCAGCAGTTCAGTTGGAGCCATAGGAACCCTTCCACCCAAGTTGGTCCGTCCCCAGTCCCGACAGGCTGCGAATGCCGTTAAACTGTAAGTTGGTTAAGTATTAACTCGGTGTTAATTATAGTACTGTTACTTTGACTGGTTACTTCCTAAATTCAGTTTATTCTTTCAACATACTGTGCGGTACTTACTATGTAGCGACACCTCCAAAATCTGGGTAATGTCGTTGTAGACCTGATATGTAGATGCAGTAAGTATGTGAAATCTGGATTTTCTAAAAAAAAAAAAAAAAAAAAAAAAAAAAAAAAAAATAGTCCATTTATCACACTTTTCAAATTTGTTCATGTAAAACTTATAATGAAAATGAAATGAAGATTTTTGTTTTAGAATATGCTCAATGGCTATACCGAGGCAAATTTTCCGAGCAATATTATATATAATATAAATATATATATATATATATATATATATATATATATATATATATATATATATATATATATATATATATATATATATATATATATATATATATATATATATATATATATATATATATATATATATATATATATATATATATATATATATATATATATATATATATATATATATATATATAATATATATATATATATATATATATATATATATATATATATATATATATATATATATATATATATATATATATATATATATATATATATATATATATATATATATATATATATATATATATATATATATATATATATATATATATATATATATATATATATATATATATATATATATATATATATATATATATATATATATATATATATATATATATATATATATATATATATATATATATATATATATATATATATATATATATATATATGTCGTACCTAATAGCCAGAACGCACTTCTCAGCCTACTATGCAAGGCCCGATTTGCCTAATAAGCCAAGTTTTCATGAATTAATGTTTTTTTGACAACCTAACCTACCTAACCTAACCTAACTTTCGGCTACCTAACCTAACCTAACCTATAAAGATAGGTTAGGTTAGGTAGGGTTGGTTAGGTTCGGTCATATATCTACGTTAATTTTAAATCCAATAAAAAAAAATTGACCTCATACATAATGAAATGGGTAGCTTTATCATTTCATAAGAAAAAAATTTGAGAAAATATGTTAACTCAGGAAAACTTGGCTTATTAGGCAAATTGGGCCTTGCATAGTAGGCTGAGAAGTGCGTTCTGGCTACTAGGTACGACATATATATATATATATATATATATATATTAGTATATTTTGGTAGCAGTCTTTCCTGTAGACATATATTATTAAATATGACCGAAAAAGTAAGATTAATAATTCTAACATGAATTTTCTCCATCTTTCTTATGTTTCTTTTCACTGTTGATGGTAATTCAAAGATCAATTCTCCAAAATTCATTTTTATTTCTAGTCTGACGCGACACTTGAGCGCGTTTCGTAAAACTTATTACATTTTCAAAGACTTTAGTTTACAAACACACAACTGAAACTGAATAGAGCTTACACATCTTCGAGGTTTATATCTACATTTGGGTGAGGTGGATGAGGTGAAAAACGAACCTTCAACGATGGGTATTAAATTCCAACACAAGACAGAACACGAAACAATGGGTATTGAATGGGTATTAAATTCAAACACAAGACAGAACACGAAACAATTGGTATTGAATGGAAGTAATTGTAGAAAGCCTATTGGTCCATATTTCTTGATGCTTCTATATTGAAGCGGAGTCTTGAAGTGGGTAGAATATAGTTGTGCATTAATTGGCTGTTGATTGCTGGTGTTGACTTCTTGATGTGTAGCGCCTCGCAGACGTCAAGCCGCCTGCTATCGCAGACAATCGCCCACCCAGAGCCCCAGACAGCAGTAGGGGGATCCCCATGAAAACAATACCGACATAGAACCCTTGACTGTTCGAGAATCTGAGGTGTACAAAGCAGCCATGTCTTTCCCAATAGGTTCAGCAGGGGGCTTTACAGGCCTAAGACCCCAGCACATCAAACAAATGCTGAACCCGGTGCTTGGAGGTGCTGCAGAGGACCTTCTAGTGGAACTTACCAGATTCTCCAACATGTGTTTTGGAAGGCAGCATCCCTGAGGACATCAGGCCTGTCTTTTATGGAGCAGCACTCTATGTTCTTAAGATGATGGATAGGGGAATTAGGCCTATAGCCGTTGGCAACACCCTCCGACGCCTCGTAGCTAAGGCTGCAGTGAGATCTATCAACCAGGAAGCAGCCTTCTTGCTGTAACCTAATCAGCTTGGGTTTGGGATCCCCCTAGGCTGTGAAGCTGCAGCACATGCAGCACGGGCTTACATTGCTGATCTCTCAGACCAGAAGGCACTAGTAAAGCTTGATTTTAAAAATGCCTTCAATCTAGTCAGAAGAGAAGCTGTCCTCAGGGTTGTACACAATCATTTCCATCCCCTTTACCCATTCATCCGATTGTGCTACAGTGGGGACTCGAAGCTTCTTTTTGGGGAGCATGAAATAGTCTCCTGTGAAGATATCCAACAAGGTGACCCCTTACCCCCCCTCCTTTTCTGCTTAGCTATTAAAGAGGTCACTGATAGTCTGACAAGTGAGCTACACATCTGGTACCTGGATGATGGCACTCTCGCTGGAATCCCGGAAACTATTTTGGAGGATATAAATCCAGGAGCAAGGAGCAGCTTTGGGCCTCATTCTCAATGCATCCAAATGTGAAATAGTCTCCCGCAACCCAGACATCACTGGCCAAATAAAAAATGTTCTTCCAGACATTCTCGTTGTCGAGTCACCGGACTGCACCCTCCTGGGTGCCCCCATTGGTCCACAAGCAATCGAGGTCATAGATGCAAAAATTACTGATCTAAAGAGAATGCTGGACAGGATTGACAAGATTGATGCCCATGATGCTCTCTTCCTCCTCACAAGATGCCTCTCTCTCCCCAAGTTGACCTACTTTCTGAGGTGTTCTCCATCCTACAGCAGCCCTAAGTTAAATGTGTATGACACTCTTCTGAGGTCCATGCTGGTGAAAATCCTGAACCTGCCATTGGACGACTCAGTGGGAGCAAGTAACCCTCCCTGTAAGACTCGGCGGCCTTGGTGTCCGCACAGCCTCCCAGATTGTTCTACCAGCCTTCCTTTCCTCCTCCCATGCATTGCACGATCTCGTGAGAGATATCCTACCTGAATTCCTGGGCAATTCAGCAGGAATACACGATCCTGCTTTCACTGAATGTTCAAATCAGTGGAATGCTATTGCAGCCCCAGCACCCATCATAGAACCAACAAAAAACTTAGTCCAGCTGGAACCACCCGCTAGTGGAAAAAATAGCTGGTGCCATGCTCAGAGCCGCAATATCAGACAAGGAGAAAGCCCGCCTCAGAGCAGTGCCTGCCCCCCATGCAGGAGACTTCCTCCTGGCAGTACCCATGTCGGCAAGGGCACGCATCTAGATCCAGAATCCCTTCGTGTAGCAGTGGCCCTCCACCTTGGTGCCCCAATTCACACTGAATACATGTGTATTTGCAACAGGGTGGAAGCAGACCAGTATGGACTGCATGGGTTGCATTGTGGAAGCACAAAAGGCTGGCATGCGAGATACAACGAGGTCAATGACATAAAGAGAAGCCTCGTCAGCTCAGTGCCCAGCGGAGAGAAAACCTCTCATCCTAGGGGACCAAACCCTGGATTTCCCCGCACTTTGCCCTGATGGCATCACCATATACTCCTGAAAGGGGGGGGGCAGACACTTGGTGTGGGACTACACGTGTGTATCCACCCTGGCTGACACTTATGTACACATCGGTGTTGATCAAGTAGTTGGGAGGGCCAACCACAGGAAAATAACAAAATCAGTCAAATACAGGTGATTGGAAGGTCAATACATCTTTGTTCCCATAGCATCTGAGATGCATGGCCCCTGGGGCAAGAGTGCTTTGGGATTTCTCAAGGAATTGGGCTCCAAGCTCATTGATGTCACCAGGGACCCAAGAGCTGCCAGTTTTTTGTTTCAGCACCTCAGTGTAGCGATCCAGAGGGAAACGCCTGCTGCATCCTCAATTCCTGTCCTGAAGCGGAGGAGCTTCAAGAGATCCATAACCTTTAAGCACACTTTGTATCAACCAATGTATATCTTGTAACCTTTAAGGAGGCAATAGAGTGGTGTTGGAAAAGTTGTTCAATGTCAACCAATATTATTTGACTAGCTGTATATGAAAAGTGCTGAAATTGTCCCAAGTTTCAGTACTGCAGTGTAAATAGAAAGGGAGATTTTTTTTCTTAACACTTTCGCGCTCTCGGCGCTCCAAAAAAAACAATACCCCAGATGCTTTCGGCACTTCGCGCGCCTACGCGGTAAGACCGAAAAGTGTACACTCTTTTGACTGTCCTGACAATAATTGAAGGCGCACATATTTAAATTTGGTATCACTGTGTTCGCAATGAAATTGTCTATAAGAGCATACCTATAAAATGCCGCCCAAGCATAAGGAGTATCAACACCAAATAAAAAACTATGCAGATCACTCGCCGAGAGCGCCAAACAGCAACAAAATGTTTCCACTCTCTTAATGGTTGCGAAGCCTACAGTTGTCCTACATCGCTGATTTTGGTATCATTGGAATCGCAATAACATTCTCTACACGGACATATGCATATGAATGTTTAATATAGGTAATTGCCCACCCGCAAGAGTGTGTGAAGTGGAGAGTACTGTAGTTAGCCGCGAGCGCACTGGCGAAAACACGGGGGAAATCATGCTTGGAAAATTTATACGTTTCCTGACCCTACTTTTCTATGTACGTATTTCTTTTTTATACCAATGTGTTCGCAATAAAATTTTCTATAAGATGAACTGTATAACATTTGTACAAAGCATGTGTAAGAGAAGCGCCAAATATAGAACCACGTCGCTCAGTATGCGTTCGCGGCAGAAACGAACGCATTGTTTTCGTTCGTTTGATGTTTGTCATGTTTATACTTGTTGAAACATTTTATAATTTGTATGACAGTGATCGCAGTAAAATTCCCTACACAGACATATACATAACACATACAAATATTTCCCACGTGTTGGATATATCAACGGCTAAAGGGAACCCACTGCCACACGCTCGCCACACCCCCAAACATACTTTGTGTATTTTTTTTTTTACTCATAGAAGTTTATGTGATATAATATTCATTCTGGTACCAAAACATTCGCAAATAAATTCCCTACAAAACAAAAGTATCCCCATCCATTTCGGTTAAAAAATGGAATTTATAGAAATATTTTTTCGATGGACGAGAAAACTCGGCTCTTATGCGGAATCGTAAGAGAAAACGGCGACGAGTTATCTCTAATCTAAAGCACGAAAGTGCTACATTTTTTTTCCAAATAAACTAATTATAATATTTGTTTAATATGTGCTATTGTGATAGCAAAGAGTCATAGCTATGATTTCAGTTGACACTTTTGATTGATAATCGATTTTGACCATTTTGGCATAATTTTCACAACTACTTCAATTTTTTTTTCTCCCTTCCTATTTATGCTACGATGCTGAAACTTGGACCAGATGAAACACTTTTCATATAGAACTTGTCAAAAAAGTTTGATTGAAATCGAACGAGTTTTCATTTATTGCATTTTTGGGGCAAATTGGAACCCTAATGCCCCCTTAAACATATAATAAAGCCAAAAAAAATCAAAGGAAGGGGTGGTAGGAGAAAAGCACACAGAAACTGTATTGGAGGAGCCCTAAACATTCCCGCTAATGCGTTATGTATGGTTTCCTCCGAGGCTTAGGGTCCCCCTTCTTCCAGCCAGAGGTGGTACTCCCTTCCCATATAATTATGTCGTACCTAGTAGCCAAAACGCACTTCTCGGCCTACTATGCAAGGCCCGGTTTGCCTAATAGTCCGAGTAATTTTCTTTACTTAAAAAAAAAATTTGAATTAGTTTCTTTGAAATATTATATTATATTTTTAAACATATATTATTTACTTAGTTATGTTAGTTTAGTTAAGGTTAACACTATCCAGCTCCATGCTCTGGTGCCGCAGAAATGACATCATGCACCAGGCAGTGCGGGTGATTTTGCGCGACACCAAAAAATGTATACTCGTTTCAGTTTTTTCACCTGAATTCTCGTGCTACGTCGTTCGTTTTGGTATCATTGTGTTCACAATAGAATTCCCTACAGGGGTATATGCACATAAGGTCCAAAAGCCCACCGATGACTCCCCACAGCAAAGCCAAAAAGTTGGCAAAGTTACCCGTGAGCGCACAAAATCAGTAAAATGTATATACTCGTTTAGGTTTTTTCACCTTATTTCTCGTGCTACATCATTCGTTTTGGTATCATTGTGTTCGCAATAGAATTCTCTACAGGATTATTTGCATATATGGTCTAAACTCCACTACATCCTTTTAGAGTTATTGTATCCATGTTAGCATCATTGGTATAAAACCCAGACAATAATAGTTTCAATAAACATATGATATCATCATTAACTCATAAATCAACATATGATAACCACACTAAGGGTTAAGTGAGCAATTTGCTATCGTGTGATTTGTACTAAGTAAAACATGTCTTTCATCTGATAATATCAGTAATCTGTGTACAAGTTGACACACTATGACCTAGTGTTTCTGTAGCAAAACCATCAAGTAGAATATTTCAGCCTGTGTACACAAATGTTGCCAGTTTTTTGTAATATTATTGACTTCTTAATTTACATAGTGTGTTTATGTAATAGTGTGTGCTTAATAATAACTGAAATAATATTTGTTAATACATATATATTTGTCTTTTTTCAGGGTAAATCAACCTGCTATAAACAAAGAGGATAATGTTGCAAGTACAGCTTCTTACAAGAAACTCATTGATATATGCAAGCAAAGGATCGGCAAGGATTATACATCGTAAGTTGAATCATGAATATTTCCAGAATATTTTCCATAATGATCAAATGAGATAGATAATATTTTCTCTCTGGAGCATTTAAAAAGTAAAAAATTCCAGTGTGGTTCAGATTTGATATACTGAAGAATTAGCCAGTTGTATAAAATACATTTTAACCCTCGGGGTGCTCGGCTATTAACCCTTAACCACCGTGCTGCACCGAGTTTTTTGTGAAATTCCCCGTGCGCACGAAATAAAAGTGTTCCCAAAAATTCTTTTTTCTTCATAAAATTATAAATTCCCTTCCCTGAACATGTCTATGTAAAAATAAATACCAAATTCCACTTACTTTGGCTGTGGGGACGTGGACAAGGTGCGCTGTGATGTCATCAGGGCCTGGTCACCCGTGTATGACTCACTCAGACATGGTCGCGCAGGCCATTCAAGCACCGGGTGTTGCCACAAGTATATTTTCAATTATTTGTTCTATGTATTTCCGATGCAGTTTCATTTGTTTTTTTATTGTATATGATGCATATTTGTGTCCTTTACAATATGTATAGAGTAGAACATTCATAATGTTCCATAGAACTGTGATACATGTATCAGTAATGTGTCCACAATAAATGTTTATTGTCGCAATATTACTTGTTACAAATTCACTAAAATTACAATATGTACAGTTTCATACACTATTTACACAGTAACACACAGTATTACACATGGAATGCACTAGGAAGTGATGTGGTGGAGGCTGACTCCATACACAGTTTCAAATGTAGATATGATAGAGCCCAGTAGGCTCAGAAATCTATACACCAGTTGATTGTCAGTTGAGAGGTGGGACCAAAGAGCCAAAGCTCAACCCCCGCAAGCACAATTAGGTGAGTACTTGATTATTACTCAGAAGTGAGTAATAATCAACGAAGTAGTCCACGGTCAAACCACATTGAGAACACCGCTTCTCATCCGATCAGCGAAGTTAAGCAACGTTGGGTTTGGTTAGTACTTGGATGGGTGACCGCCTGGGAACACCAAATGCTGTTGGCAATAATGTTTCTGGGAACCAGTCGGCCGAGTGGACAGCACGCTGGATTTGTGATCCTGTGGTCTTGGGTTCAATCCCAGGCGCCGGCGAGAAACAATGGGCAGAGTTTCTTTCACCCTATGCCCCTGTTACCTAGCAGTAAAATAGGTACCTGGGTGTTAGTCAGCTGTCATGGGCTGCTTCCTGGGGGTGGAGGCCTGGTCGAGGACCGGGCCGCGGGGACACTAAAAAGCCCCGAAATCTTCTCAAGATAACGGTACACAGCGCGACTTATTGGTATATTGATACATTATTATGCAAATTATTGGCTTCATGGTCGTGAAACTTTCATCAAAATATTTTCAGAAATTGATTTTTGACGAATTTTTTAAAAAGAAGAACGTTTTGTTGATAAGGAGAAAACCTCCTATTAACTGGAAGTGAGGGATAATGTAGTAATAAAGAGATGCAAGCACCTGTCTGATGCACAAAGAAGAATAGTAGTAAGAAGTGTCCACAAAGTGGATATTCAGCTGGTACCTTTATGGCATTGCTGTCTAATATATAATAACACAAATAATAATGAGTATGTTATTATGCTCTATTTTGTTGTATATCATATAAATACATTGCCCAATGTTAATATTTGTTGCCCAATTGTTAATATCTGTTACTTTCATCAATGTCCAAATAATATTTTTTTTTTGGGGGGGGGGGGGTCTTTTTTTTTTTTTTTATATATAAACTTTGTTTACTATCTGATATTGTTGTAACCTTTACATCCTGAAGCGTAGTGTGTGTACACTCACTAGGAAGGATGTGGTGGAGATGATGATAATAATCACTGATAACATGGTGTGTGTAATTGTTGTAACCTTTACATCCTGGAGAGTACATACCCGTCCCTAGCTATGTAAAGATAGAATGAAATTGGTCAACAAATAAGTCGGTCACAACTCGCAAAACTTGGTACTGAATATTTTTGGCTGATTTTTTCAGAGATTTCAAACTCTATTTTCTTTGTTTCTTTAGGTTGTTTTGATGATTAGGGACCATATTAGGGCTTTTTCAGTCATATAAATTATACCCTAAATATATCCCCCTAAATCAATATAATTATACTAATTATCCCGATATTTTGTTTTTGGGAGAAATTATTTTCCGGGGGGAGCCCTGTTTTCTCCCCGGAGCTATCCAGGCTGAATGGATATGCATATCTTTTTGGCATCAGTCAGTGCATGGAGTTTTTGCCTACCGGGAACCACGAGCCAGAACCTGGCCCCCCTCTAGTGGGGCACCAGGAGCAATGGCCTATAGAGACCCTCCCTGTTGTTGGGAGCATTCTATATCTGATATCGACCAGGACAGGCACCCAGAAAAATAGGTGCCCCAAAAAGAAACCCCTATTCTTGTAAAACTATTGCGACCGAAGGCCGAACAAGTGGTCAGAACTCCCCAAAACAAAAATTAGCAAACTAGCATGGCATCATCATGTCGCCACGCCTCTGTCTGCGCAACCCCCCCCCCCTTCCCCGGAAGGGGAAAGGAGGGGGGTTGCATTTTTGTTTTAGTTCTGTGCCTTGTGGTGTGGGCTGTCTCTCCAGGTGGTGCAACATCTGTATATAGTGAATAAAAGGAAAAACAGTGTGGTGGGAGGAGAATGTTGGCGAGTCAGGTGGGTTGAGGGAGGGAGGGAGTGGCAGCCACTGCCACATGGCATACCAACTTAGTGGTTCGTTATGGTGAACAAAAATGTAGATACTGTCTCCACTCGATCATCCGGACTATATGGGAAGGACCCCCAGCCGGATTATCACATTTTTCGGATAATGGTACTTTTTCACCTACGAGTCCAAAAGTGACCATTTCCAACTATTTTTATACTACAAACAACATAATTTGAATTGCCTTGCCACATACATTTATTAAATATTCAACTAGAAACCTCAACTTACCTTGTTGGTGTTCATCTTCTTGATTGATGCCACACATCTTGAAGTTAAAAATTCTTAACAATTTACGTAACCTATACTAACACAACACTAAAATTAACACTTAAAATTACTGTACAGTTCATTAAGCTAAGTTAGTTTTGACTGCCAGCTGCTGAAGCCTCACTGGTTGAGGGCATTTGGGTTGCCTGTGAGGCCTCACTTGTTGAAGGCGCTTGCTTGCACCTCACTTGTTGAAGCGCTTGCTTGCACCTCACTTGTTGAAGCGCTTGCATGCCCTCACTTGTTGAAGGTGCTTGGCTTGCCTGTGACGCCTCACTTGTTAAAGGCGCTTGCTTGCGCCTCACTTGTTGAAAGCGCTTGGCTTGCCTGTGGTGCGTCACTTGTTGAAAGCGCTTGGCTTGCCTGTAATGCCTCACTTGTTGAAGGAGCTTGGCTTGCCTGTGGCGCCTCACTTGTTGAAGGACAACTTTCTTCCTCTTAACACCTCCAGAACGATTGATGCTGCTACCAGACATAGTCTTGGCCAAAAATGTTCAAAGTTACTATGAAAATAAAAAAGTTATTTAAAAAAATATTTCACTAATGGCGCAGCACTGTGTATAACACGAGGGACGGACGCACATGGGTTGACCAGTGTTGGACGGGTCCACTTGGGATAGCGCGTTACGTAGGCCGCCAGGAGGAAAAAAATTCACAATATTTTTGAAGGAAACTTCAGCCTGTGCACAATGCTTTTAGGAAACTTATTTATTTGTTATTACATAATTACTAGTAGTTATTTCATTTGTTTTTGGCTATGATTAATTGTTCTAAAATTATTGGTAATTCCTGTACCCAGGTGGTCCCTCCTGACGCATCCCTCCCACCATCCCTCCCACCCTCCCACACCACCCACCCACCCCACCCCCCTCCTCCACCATGCGTCTAGAGCCACAGACGGGATTAATACGGTATGGCCGTATTTTCATCCGGCCAAACCAGCTTTTATCCGGTTCCTGTGGCCATTTTGGCCGGATATTGTGATAACTTTATCCGATCACGATTTTGGCCGTATAAGGGCGTTTTCCGGATGTTTGAATCCCGGATAATCGCGGGGTTACAGTACTTATATATAACTTGTATATATAGTGTAATAACAGCAAAAGGAGTGTTGGGAGAAGCCATTTTGCTGAGGAAGGTGGTGACATCTGCATGACTTGTCATGCTGGTTAAGGGTGGCCACTATGCTCTGTGGGCACTATACCTGCTTAGCTGAACAATTATGGTGAACAAAACATGTAGATACTTGTATATAATATATAATGTGTGTGTATATAGGGTAATAACACCACAAACAGTATACTTGAAGGAGGAATGCCAGTGTGTCTGGCCTTGAACCAGTGAGAGAGAGAGGGAGGAAGGGAGCATTAGTTGTGTGTGGCCACCTGTTACTGTCTGCCATCACCATACAAGATTAGTGGTTTGCTATGGTGAACACAAATGTTGATACTTATATATAACGTGTGCATATAGTGTAATAACAGCAAAAGGAGTGTTGGGAGAAATCATTTTGGTGAGGGAGGTGGCATCATCTTCCTGACTTGTCATGCTGTGTAAGGATAGCCACTATGCTCTTTGTGTACTATACCAGCTTAGATGAACAGTTATGGTGAACAGAACATGTAGATACTTATATATAATGTCTGTATATAGTAAATAAAAGCAAAAACAGTATGGTGGGAGGAGGATGTGGGCGAGTTTGGAGTCATTGAGGGAGGGAGTGGCAGCGAGAGGCTGGCTGGCAGAAATGGTAATTACCTAAGTGTAATTAACTAAGTGTAGTTACAGGATGAGAGCTACGCTCGTGGTGTCCCGTCTTCCCAGCACTCTTTGTCATATAACGCTTTGAAACTACTGACGGTCTTGGCCTCCACCACCTTCTCACCTAACTTGTTCCAACCGTCTACCACTGTTTGCTAAATTGAATTTTCTTATATTTCTTCGGCATCTGTGCTTAGCTAGTTTAAATCTATGACCTCTTGTTCTTAAAGTTCCAGGTCTCAGGAAATCTTCTCTATCGATTTTATCAATTCCTGTTACTATTTTGTATGTAGTGATCTTATCACCTCTTTTTCTTCTGTTTTCTAGTTGAAAAAGAGATATGATCACGACATACAAAATAGTAACAGGGATTGATAAAATCCTTCTGGTTCCGGTCACGTGTATGTGTACTTCGGTCTCTGATAGGGTTGTCGTGTCCTTCCTTTCGTGATTGTTCCAGGACTGTCATCTTAAGCCAGATACTGTCGCCACGTATCGTGTGGCACTGGCGGAGCAGCTCCAGCTTGCGTTCGGTGTTGATGTTACTTTTGCCCTGTTCTGCGAACCGTCTTGTACATTGTTTCACCTCCGGCCTGCTCATGCGCCTCCGGTGCCACCCTGGCCGTTGGACCAGGTGTTCTCTTTTCTTTCTCCTCCTCGGTTTGGGGTTGTTTTTCCAGGTCTCCTTTTCTTGTTGGTGTTGGCCTCTGGAGGTGAGGTCGGGAAGCTTCAGACTCTTCCAGTGCAGGAGTTTTTCTGCTCATTTGGTCCTGGTGGTAGGTTTGTTTGTTTGCAGCAATCTCCTTTTTTTCTGGCAATGAATGGGTCTGCTGCTTTCCGGAGGGGTCCTTGGGTTATTGATGCTTGGCTGGTCGGGCCCGGGATGCATCATATGTTGTGTTCGGTTGCGGCTCTCTGCTGTTCTCTGCGTATCTTGGCCTCAGTGGGCGTGGAGGCGTTTTGGTGTGCCCGGGTTCCCTTCCTTCCTTCCTGTTCCGGGGGTTCAGGTCTCCCGGGTCGTCTGCAGGGTCCTTCGGTTTGCCAGTTGTCTTGTTTTTGAGTTAGGGCGTGTGGTATCCACCTCCCGGGGTCCTTCCCTCTTTATCTTATCTTTGGTGAGGTAACTCCGTGAAGCCGATGGGGCTCCCCCCAGAAAACCAGCATTGAATGTAATGAAATGCCATTTTATGGGTGAGACCCGGAGGCTCCCGGCATCCCTACCTTCCTCCGGTTGGCAGCGTTTTTTGCGTGTTTTTGACATCCAGCCTAAGAACTGCCAGTTGGATCGCCAGCGTGGGGGTCTGGGGCTCCCCCTTCACCCTCCCAGGGAGGGTGGGGGGTTGCAGAGATGGCAGCGTAGCGACATGATTACGTCATGCTAGTTTGCTACTTTTCATTTGGGGAGTTCTGTCCACTCGCTCGGCTTTTGGTAGCAATATGTTCACCAGAATAAGGGTTTGTTTTGGGGCGCCTATCTCTCTGAGTGCCAGACCCAATCGATGGCAGACATAGAATGCTTCCAACCACACAGTTGTTTCTATAGGCCATTGCTCCTTGTGCCTCTCTGAGGGGAACCAGGTTCTGACTTGTAGTCCCCAGTAGGCAAGAACTTTATGCTCTTTGATGCCAGATAGCTAGTAATTACATATCAGCCTGGATAGCTCCGGGGCAGCCTTCGTGTTTCACCCAGAAAATAGCATTTCATTACATTCAACACAGGTTTTTTTGCTGTTATTACAATATATACACACATTATAGATAAATATCTACATTTGTGTTCAATATTACAAACCACTAAGCTGGTATGGCGAGTCCAAACAATAACAATGTGCAAATGCAAGATTGAAGCAGTGAAGAGCAGAGGTGCCATAGGCACAATCAGAGAGCACTGTGTAAACATCAGAGGTCCGCGGTTGTTCAACGTCCTCCCAGCGACTATAAGAAATATTGCCGGAACAACCGTGGACATCTTCAAGAGAAAACTGGACTGTTTTCTAAGAGAAGTTCCGGATCAGCCGGGCTGTGGTGGGTATGTGGGCCTACGGGCCGCTCCAAGCAACAGCCTGGTGGACCAAACTCTCACAAGTCGAGCCTGGCCTCGGGCCGGGCTTGGGGAGTAGAACAACTCCCAGAACCCCATCAAGCAGGTATCAAGCAGGTACCACACACCAATCAAGGACCTAAGTAAATGATTACAAGTTAACTCTTGCTATTTCCTTGTTAAATATACAATAATAGTATTGATGGACCTATTCTAGGTTACTGGAGTTTTCTTTCTAAATACAAATTGTATGCTTCATTCTAAGTTAGCAGGATTTGATACAATTATGTAGGTATATACTAATTTTCTAATTAGTAGCTAGTCTTTACATGTACTATTTTATTTTCAGACCAGAAATCTGCTCTGCCCTTCGTGAGGTTCGTATTCAGAATAACAACAGTTTGTCGGGAATCAGCACAGAAAAGATTGTAGAACGTGTCAAGCTTCAACTGCGTTGTCGCCATCCTGGTGCAGGGCAGGCCTCAGTAGCTCCATGGGCAGGGCTCACCCAAGGCTCAGCAGCAAATGCTTCTGGACCTGAATGGAAAGGCCCAGTAAATGAAGAAGGAATGAAAGTAGAGGAGTCGTGTTCTATTTGCTTGGAGGCTCTCAGTGTTAGTGCCACTGTTCCCCTCCAGTGTCAGCATGTATTTCATGAGAAATGTATCAAAGATTGGTTGAAACGACAATCTAACTGCCCAAACTGCCGTACTTTTGCTCTCATGACTGATGAATACCCATCACTCACTCACTCCTAAGAGATTAGGATAAATTAGGACAGTATTTCAAGCTGTATCCATAAGGATAATGTTACTTTTCACAATTTGCGACCTCTTTATAACGTGCCTTTCATAAAAGTGAAAGAAAATCATTTGCAAATTAAGGATTGTTTTTGCTACTGATACTAAAGATTTTCTTCGTTTTCTAATACAGTATTCCTCAATAAATTTGTAATTTTGAAGGCCAACCTGATAGAATTTATATTTTTTTTATTTAAAATTTTACTATATGTGCTGTTTATGCTTCATATAGAATTTACATGTACTGTGTGTAATTAGGGGTTTGCCTTACAGACAACAAATGCCACTTTATTGGGTACAACTTAATTTTAGTGTAATCTTTTGAAAGATTGTTTATGTACTTTTGTAAAGTCACCTATTTTAAAGGTGGAAGTTACATAGCTAATGTGCCTTAGCAAATCATAACTAGGATGTGTAATATATTTTTCTATAAATACTCATCTTAGAATTGTTTTAGTTTTAAGATTACAAATTGCTTTATATAATAATTATGAAGCAAAAATATTAATTAATAAATTGGGGACAAAAAATTGAATGGAAGATATGCTTTTAAATTTTGTCTTAATTCAAATCCAATATGTCAAAAAATGAATTAATGAGTAAAAATGTGGATTAAAGAGTAAATTACAAGCAAGTTTTTTTTTTCCCTGTAAATGTTAAAAAAATATCTTGAATTACAAGGGAATGTAAACTTATCACACAAACATGAAATTACAGTCAATGAACAGCATATTTGTTGCAAGTTTAAAAGGCTCTTAAATCATAATTTGTAATGGAAAATACTCTACTTTTCAAATAGGTTAATAATAAAAAATCACATTAGTTATCCTTAGTAGGAAAACCTTTGAGTATTTGTTTTCTCTCATGCAAAGAGAAACAGGTGTTACTGACTAATGTCTATTTTGAGCAAGAACACTTGAGCACAATTTTCATGTTTACAGGTTTCTTTGCATACACACAATGATGAAGTAAGGGTGACTTGCGCACTGCCCATGGACAGGTATCAGTGGCTTCTGCTCCTATCTCCTGTCTGATGTGTCCAATTAAATTCCAGTATTGACACCACCATATTATGCGACTGGAAACAGGAACTTTAGGACTGCCATCCTTCTTCATAAATCTGTCCTTGAATCTTGTCCTTTGGATTTCTGTACTCATCTTCGCCTTCCCTATAATGATCCCTTCTCTCTCTTTGAACTTCGGTCTGCCCTGGCCCTCTGCAGTTCTACGGCAGCAGGCTCCGATGGCATTCATTATGAGATGCTTCGACATCTCCCTCCATGCACGTCTCAGTATTTACCGAGTCTGTATAATCGGATCTGGGAGTTGTCGTCAATCCCTGAGGACTGGCTTGATGCCGTTGTCCTCCCTGTTCACAAACCAGGTTTTCTGGGAACATCCCCTAAGGACTTTTGCTCTATTGCCCTTACAAGTTGTGTCTGCAAACTCTTTGAATGTATGGTTAGCGTTCGTCTGATGTGGTTCTTAGAACACCATCACCTCCCCTTCTCAATTTGGTTTCTGCAAGTGCCACAGCACAACAGATGTCCTGGTGAACTTAGAGGTTTATATTCGTACTGCTTTTGCTGCGAAGACCTCCGTTGTTGCTGTCCTTTTTGACCTGGAAAAGGCTTAAGACACCACTTGGCGATACCATATTCTATCCTAGCTTCATTCTTTTGGCCTTCGTGGTCATCTCCGCAGCTTCCTCTATCGTTGTTCCTTTCGGGTGAGGCTTTGTACCGCTCTCTCTGCCTCTTTTCAGCAATAAGAAGGTGTACCCCAGGGTAGTGTTCTGGGCACTACTCTTTTTCTGGTTGCCCTCAATGGTCTTCTTTCTTCTCTTCCTTCAGGCGTCTTCTTCACTCTTTATGTCGACGATCTTACCCTATGCTGTCAGGGTGATGATTCGCCTCTCCTTCAACGCCGGCTTCAACTTGCAATTGATGCCATGTCATCTTGGGCTACCGATCGTGGCTTCAGGTTCTCTACATCTAAGACTTGTGCTATGACTTTTACTCGTAAGCATGTCGTTCTTCGTCCTTCTTTGTCGCTCTATGGTCACCACATTGTGTACAAGAATTCCGCAAGCTTTTGGGGTTGATTTTTGACACTCGTTTGTCTTGTTCGCCCCATATCTCTTACCTCCGTGTTGAATGCTCTAAGGCCCTTGCCGTCCTTCGGGTATTGTCCCATATTTCTTGGGGAGCGGATATGCATGCACTCCGCGCTTTACATTCCTCTCTCGTCCTGTCTAAGCTCGATTATAGTTGCCCTGCTTACTTGTCTGCTTCTTCTACTCTTCGCCGTCTTGATGCTTTGCACCATACTGAGTTGCGCCTCAGTTCTGGTGCCTTTCGTTCGACTCCCGTCCTCTGCTTGTATGTTGACACTGGCTTCCTATCTCTCCAGGACCGCAGTGAGCGCTACTGTCTTCGCTATCTTGCGCGGTCCTTGCAACATCCTTCCTCTCGCCTCTGTCGTGCTTTAACTTTTACCCCTCCTGTGGTTCCTGTTCCTCTTCACCACCTCCCTCTTTCTGTCTGGTTATCTCGCTTACAAGATTCTCTTTCAGTTCGTATTTCTAATGTTTCTACTTGTGTTGTTCCTTCTTTGCTCCCGTGGAGAGTCCCCCTTCCGCAGTTTTGTACCTCCTTAACCCACATCACTAAAGCTTTTACCCCTCCTACGGTTCTAAAACGCCATTTCCTTGGGCACTTTTCTTCTCACTCCCGCTCCGTTTCCGTCTTCACCGATGGGTCTAAGTCTGCAGACAGTGTTGGCTACTCTATTGTTTTTCCTGATTGCACTTATATGTGTCGCTTACCTCCGGAGACTAGCATCTTCACAGCGGAACTTTATGCTATTCTCTATGCTTTTCGTCTCCTGCTTTCTCGTTGTCAATCTTCCTTTGTCATTGTTGTTGACACTCGTAGTGCCCTCATGGCTCTCGGGTCCTTTAATCCGGTTCATCCAGTGGTTGTCGAGATCCAGCATTAGCTGTTTCTTGTTCACAGTAAATTTAAGTCAGTTGAGTTTTGTTGGGTTCCCAGCCATATTGGTGTCTCTTTAAATTAGCATGCGGATGCTGCAGCCAGGGAAGCTGTCCGTTCTTGTCCCATCTCTCGTAAAGGTATTCCTTATTCCGACTTTTACCCGGTTATCCATTCCTCCATCCTTACCCGTTGGCAGGCTTGTTGGTCGTCTGTTACTGGTAACAAACTGGGTACTCTTAAGAGTTGTGTGTCCTCGTGGCCGTTCTCCTACCACCGTAACCGGTGATGGGAAACGGCTCTGGCGAGGTTGCTTATTGGCCATACTCGCTTAACTTGTGGTTACTTGATGGAGCGCCGCCCTGCTCCTTATTGTCCTAATTTCATTGTCCCCCTTACGATCGTGCATATCCTTGTTGAATGTCCTGACTTCCGAGATGAGCGTGTCTTTTGTTTTCCGACCGTCCCCCACGGTCGCTTAACCCTTGATAGTATTCTTGACAACTCTGATACTTTTGATATCGTTCGCCTTATGCGTTTCTGTTCTCGTATTGGCATCCTGGTGATATTTAGCGTCTTCTGATTATCTCGCACATTTGATGGTGCTACATAGCCTTCCCGGTTTAATGCCTTCTTTTGATAATTACTTACTTTAGGACTGCCATGGGGATATTAAAAAAAAAATCAGGCCCAAGATTATCCTATCAAGGTTGATATATTCACTGGACCCCTTCACAGCTGTCATTGTTATCCCCTTAGAGTATTTACAATCACTTGATACAATCTCCAAACTTCAATAGTTCTTGTGTTATCGGGAGGGGCCACACATGACAACTGATTGAAGTCATTTAATAAAAATTATAGCAGAATATTTTTATTACTTAAAAACATACAATGTGCATACAAATAGTTTAGCGGATAGCCACATTCGTGAATGCAACGTAATGAAGTAGTTTAACACGAAAATAAGAAATTTTAAACGGCAACATAGCAACAAATATGCAACAGCAACAAATACATTGTACAAAAATTACATCAGTTCAAAATTAACATTTATTTATGACTATTCAATCATCTTTAGTGTTTTGGCCTGAGGCTTGACACCTCTTTTTAATGACAATTTTTGCTATGGCTGGCTGAAATGGGCCGCTGGAGTGCTTGCAAAGGGCCACATGTGACCTGCGAGTCACATGTTCGACATGCCTAGGATACAGTCTGTTCCATTGATTTTCCCCCAATATCCTGTTTTCTCTACCTTAACTTAAACCCCTTTTGGACTCATTACCTGAGCCTGTGCTCCTTTTGAGCGATTTTAACTGTTGGCTTACCTTCTGGGACCGATGTTCTGACAAATATGCGGGGCTGCCTCCTTGAACCATTTGTCTTCTCTTCTCTTCTGTCACTTTTGAATTCTGGTGAATCCACTCATGTTTACTTATGCATTCGCACCCAATCCTGTCTTTATCTTTCTTCTTCTGTTTATTTAAATTTCACATGGCAGATTCTTGATGACCTCCATAACAGTGGCCATTTTCAAATCCTTGTCACCTTCTCTTTTCACCTCTCCCCTCTTTTTTCTCTGTGGCAGTTTGCCAAGGCTAACTGGAATCTCTTCATCCTTCATGCTACTCTTACTGACCTCTCCGATCTGCCTCGCCCATGAGCCGCCCTCTTTTTTCATGACACCATATTAGATGCTGCCCTTCACTCTGTTCCTCACTCTACCTCCCAGGGCACGCGGAAGTGTGTTCACTGGTGGAATGCAGACTGTGCTCGAGCTGTCTGTTGTAAACGTGCAGTGTGGAAGAAACACCCACACTGACTGATTCTTTTGTTTTGTTTTGGAAGGTGAGTGCAGTGGCCCGTAGGGTCATCCATACGGTTAAGTGAGGGAGTTGGGAATATTGTCTCCACCATTATGGCTGACACTCCTCTGCCCCAGATCTGAAAGAAAAATCATAAAATAGCTGGAACGTTTGTTCCAGATGTGTCTCCAATCCTTCGCCTCTGTGGTTCTATTGTGGTAGATCCGGTGTCGGTCGCAACCGAACTGGATTCTCACTTTTCAACTGTTAGCTCCGGTTCTCATTTTCCTCTCGTCTTAACTTACTCATCAAGCCCCTTCTTGAATATTGTCCCTTAAATTTTCACACACATCTCCAGCTTCCCTATAAGGATTCCTTCTCTCTCAGAACTCCAGTCTGCCCTGACCCTCTGCAGGTTTACAACAGCGGGCTCAGATGACATTTATTATGAGATGATTTGTCATCTTCCTCCATGCACGTTTCAGTATTTATGGAATGTGTATAACCATATCTGAGAGTCGTTGACAGTCTCTAACGACTGGCTTGAGGCAGGCAGTTCTTCCTATTAGGAAACCAGGTTCTCTAGAGACATCCCTTAAGGACTTAAGCCCCATTTTCCTCGCAAGTTGCATCGGTAAACTCTTTGAGGAGTAGGGAATCATCGGGAAATTACTAAGCCATTACAACTGTACAGCACCCTGCAGGGATCAGGATAAGGATTTGGGATGATACTGGGTAAATGAATAATGCCCAACCACTTGGACGGTTGGGGATTGAACGCCGACCTGCATGAAGTGAGACTGTCACCTGAAGGCCCAGTCCATGTGGTTGG